TGTAAGTTATTTTGAATAGACCACGTCTGTGGCCATTTTCATGATAAGTAGTTATGAAGATGACTTCCAGCATGGCTAATAACAAAATCCAGTGCAGCTGGAACACTAGCAAACTGTAACCACAGTTTTTCAAACAAGGTTCCTTGTAACCCTAGGGTTCTGCAAGAGGTCTTTAGGAAAGCATGATTGGTAAACATCTCTTTCATTTTATGATTGGTAAGCATCTCTTTCATTTCATTATCAAAGTTTCCCCCAAAAGGAAGATAGAGTGGATAGGAAATACAAGGAGAGAATACTATTGCATGTGTTTGTTGTTGTTGTTCATTCGTTCAGTCGTCTCCGACTCTTCGTGACCTCATGGACCAGCCCACACCAGAACTCCCTGTCGGCCGTCACCACACCCAGCTCCTTCAAGGTCAGTCCAGTCACTTCAAGGATACCATCCATCCATCTTGCCCTTGGTCGGCCCCTCTTCCTTTTCCTTCCGTTTCTCCAGCATCATTGTCTTCTCTAAGCTTTCCTGTCTCCTCATGATGTGGCCAAAGTACTTCAACTTTGTCTCTAGTATCCTTCCCTCCAATGAGCAATCGGGCTTTATTTCCTGGAGGATGGACTGGTTGGATCTTCTCACACGTCCAAGGCACTCTCAGAACTTTCCTCCAACACCACAGCTCAAAAGCATCTATCTTCCTTCGCTCAGCCTTCCCTAAGGTCCAGCTCTCACATCCGTAGGTTACTACAGGGAATACCATGGCTTTGACTAGGCGGATCTTTGTTGCCAGTCTGATGTCTCTACTTTTTACTATTTTATCGAGACTGGACATTGCTCTCCTCCCAAGAAGTAAGCGTCTTCTGATTTCCTGGCCACAGTCTGCATCTGCAGTAATCTTTGTGCCTAGAAATACAAAGTCTGTCACGGCCTCCACATTTTCTCCCTCTATTTTCCAGTTGTCAATCATTCTTGTTGCCATAATCTTGGTTTTTTTGATTTTAGCTGCAACCCAGCTTTTGCGCTTTCTTCTTTCACCTTGATTAGAAGGCTCCTCAGCTCCTCCTCGCTTTTGGCCATCAAAGTGGTGTCATCTGCATATCTGAGGTTGTTAATGTTTCTTCCAGCAATTTTCACCCCAGCTTTGCATTCATCAGCCCTGCACATCGCATGATGTGTTCTGCATACACGTTAAAAAGGTTGGGTGAGAGTATGCAGCCTTGCCGTACGCCTTTCCCAATCTTGAACCAGTCTGTTGTTCCGTGGTCAGTTCTGACTGTTGCTACTTGGTCCTTGTACAGATTCCTCAGGAGAGAGACAAGGTGGCTTGGTATGCCCATCCCACCAAGAACTTGCCACAATTTATTATGATCCACACAGTCAAAGGCTTTAGAATAGTCAATGAAGCAGAAATAGATGTTTTTCTGAAACTCCCTGCCTTTCTCCATTATCCAGCGGATATTGGCAATCTGGTCTCTGGTTCCTCTGCCTTTTCTAAACTGCATGTGTAGCCTCCAGAAAATTCAGACCATTCGGCAGGGTGATGTCACAGAAAAAGCATGTTATGCACATCTGAAGGCGCACATATGATGCTATCTAGCAGATCCCAAGACTGAAAGAATAGCTCAGTGGGTTAATGAAATCTATTAAGGCTGAATCCCAGTGAAGCTTCACAATAACATTCTGCACCAAGAATTTCAACAGTCCAATGGGAAGGGAGCCTGAGATTGTCCTGTTCACAACTCTTGTCCTCCAATTCCAAAGTTGTGTTACTAAAATTGTCATGATCAGGGCCCAAAGGTGAATGCTGATTTGGTACATTTGGGCTGTGCTGAGCTAAAAGACATGAAGCAAATAGTCTTTACAGAGCACACTAGAGTGGTTTAAAAGAGCTTTTTAATTGCTCAGCAGGGGTGCTAAGTCAGCAAAAAGCACTAATTGCTCGATAAATTTGATAAGATGAAGACATCTAACCATTAGAGGAGTAAGTTCCGTAAAGTAATAATCTCCCAAGAGCAACTGTAAATGTAAAAGCAGATAAAATGACGTGTTTACATCTCGGGAAATTATTAGGTGATAAATCTGCATAGAACCTCTCAAAGCAATTTCTCAGATATATATATTCTGTGATAATTTTCTCCTATGTTTTAAAAACATACAAGAGAAAAGGTTAATGTTTATTACTATACTTAGTCTTTAAATGCTATTGGAAAATGCATTCCAACATCAGTCACAAAATGTAATTCTATGTGTATTTATTCAAAAGTTCTATTGCATTTATTGAAGTTTACTGACAAATCAGGATGCATCTACACTAGAAAATTAATGCGGTTTGACACCTCTTTAACTTGAGTGGTTCAATGCTATGTATTCCCCTTTTGTAAACTGTTTTTATATGTTGTGCACCGCCGCGAGTCGCCCTAGGGCTGAGAGCGGCGGTCAATAAATGCAGTAAATAAATAAATAAAATAAATAAATATTCATGGGAGCTGTATTTTGGTGAGGAATGAGCATTTCTTGGCAGAGAAGGCTAATGACCTATTGAAACTACAACCTCCAAGATTCTATAGTATTGAGCAATGGAAGTTCAAATTGGATCAAAATGCATTAATTCTACAACAGTGTAGAAGATACACCCTAAGTCTACAAAGGATGGCTCCTTAGTCTTAATAAGCAATGGATGTAAAGTAGGGCAATGTGTTTTGAATGAGTAAATAATTTAATTCGTGCATTAATGTTTCATATATACGAGGGTTATCTGGAAAGGAAGGTTACAAGATTATTTTTTTAATACAAAGAATGAAGATGTTTCAGTCACACTTACATGGATTGTAGCATGGCTATTACATTATTTTTCCACATAATCACCATTCAGTTCAATACATTTTGTCATCCGTGGGATGAGTTTTTGATGCCCATGTCATAGAAGTTTCCCTCCACCTTTTTCAGCCAGTTCATCACTTCGATTTTCACTTCGTCGTCATCGGAAAAGTGTTTTCCACCAAGGTGTTCCTTCAATTTAGTGAACAGATGACAGTCACTGGGTGCGAGATCGGGGCTGTGAGAGGGGTGGCTTAAGAAATCCCAACCAAATGAAGTCAACAAATCTTGTGTTGTATGAGTGGTGTGAGGACGCACATTGTCATGAAAGAGATAGACCCTTGTTTTTGATGGCTCTGTAAAGTTTCTTCATGGTCTCACAACATATTCTGTACCCATTTTGTCACATGCTGTCTTGACATTACGTCCTCTCCATAAACTGAAACAATTTTGCAATGAATCGCAGTGGCGTTCATCCCCTTAGCATTTAGGTAGTATATTACAGCGCGAACTTCGCACTTGAAAGGAAACAGAATGAGGACAGTCATCTCTAACCTTCACCACAATGCCAGTCGATGAGCTGACGACTGGCACTGCTCGTTCACTTCCGCTGGCTTCCCGCTACACAGCAGTAATACCAACTTCCCCCAAGAAAATTCCCTGTGAGAGCTACATGCCTTGTAACCTTACTTTCCAGGCAACCCTTGTACCTTATACAGCTAACCTGAACGGCATTTTATACACCATGTTGTTCATAACTGTGTGCATGAAACCTGTTTGTGTACACTAAACCATCAGAAGGCAAAGGAGTCACTATCTAACCATCCATGTGGACAATGGGCTTGATAGAATGAGTCTTTCCCACATTTGTCCACCTAGGAACTTGGTGCAACCTCAGCTGAGAGTTTAGAGACAGGAGCTGTCATCATCCATAAAGATTACATCTCCCTCATGAGGAAACATTTCCACCATAGGGCCAGTTTTAAAGATTAGCACTTGATGTTGGGGGGGGTGGTGGTTGTTGTTGTTGTTTTGTCATGTCAGGAGCGACTTGGGAAACTGCAAGTTGCTTCTGGTATGAGAGAATTGGCCGTCTGCAAGGACGTTGCCCAGGGGACGCCCAGATGATTTGATGTTTTTATCATCCTTGTCGGAAACTTCTCTCATGTCCCCGCATGAGGAGCTGGAGCTGATAGAGGGAGCTCATCCGCCTCTCCCCAGATTTGAACCTGCAACCTGTCGGTCTTCAGTCCTGCCGGCACAGGGGTTTAACCCCCTGCGCCACCGGGGGCTCTTGATGTTGGGTGACCTAGGGAGAACAAGGATGCTGCAGGTTTACAGCCTACCACATTACCCAATAATATCACTGCATAAACTGGTCAAGTTAATCTTGGAAGAGGTGTTAGAGCACTATAGGATTAAGGTTCAGGGAACTTCAATATATTGCCATGGTTGTCCTCAGCACTCTATAGGTATCATGACAGCCATATATCTGCTTCAGTACCTCATTGGGCCAAAAAACTTGACAGAACATATCTTGAACCTGGTTATTGCTGCTGGAAAAATTGAGAATGGTCAAACCCCTTTTGTATTGATCAGACCATGTCATTGAAATTACCATCATTTCTCTGATTTATGACCTACTCTGGATGGAAGACAGTAGAGTGCTGCCATGTTGCCATTCTTAAGTACCTCAGCAGCTTCTTATAACATTGATCATGGTATCTTACTGGACCACCACCACTGGATGATAGTAGGAGATACTGTGTTACAGTGGCTCTGCTTTTATCTGTGGAACCAATTCCAGAGATTAGCACTAAGTATTTCAGTTCAGGCCCATTGCTATTGATCTGTGGGGTGGCGCAAGGTACAATTTTATCTGTTCTGCAGCTCAATCTATATGAGGTCACGAGGAGACCTGAGGTGGGGTTTGACTATTGCATGTCATCGAAATCATTTGCAGGTTCAGAACCTGGATATTGTAATGAACTCAGTAAGGGCCAATAAACTGCAATTGAAGCACAATAAAATGGAAAAACTTTCTTGGATGGGGTTGCACTTTTGGATACATTCCTATTCGGATATCTCAGACTGCTTGAGGCCAGATCTGATTTGTCACCCAGCTATGACCTTTGTTGAACTGAGGCCCTATTTACACTGACCATTTAATGTACAGTAGAGTATTGCTTACCCAACCTTCATTCGTCCAGTGTTCTGTATTATCCAGTGCAGTCTGCCTCCCGCCCGGATCCACAACTGTTTCAATACATTGCGATGTTTTGGTGCTAAATTCATAAATACAGTAATTACTACATAATGTTATTGCATATTCTTTTCTGTCAATTTGTTGTAAAAACTTCTTTTTCTGTCAATTTGTTGTAAAACATGATGTTTTGGTGCTTCATTTGTAAAATCATAACGTAATTTGACATTTATCAGACTTTTCCTTAATTTCTCCTTATTATTCAACATGTTTGCTTATCCAACATTCTGCAGGCCCATTTATGTTGGATAAGCGATACTCTACTGTATTTTCAAGCTGGTACTGAATAAAGCAGATGATTACATAGGAAATCCTGGAGCCACTTAAGAGACCCAGATGGTGAAGACAGTCACCACAGAGCACTGTGGTATATTAAGGGATTTCTGCCACACGTTTCTGTGCGAGTTTGTTGTCTGTTTGCCTCAATTTGAAGCTAGCTTTAAACTCTATTCTGCCTTGGTCAGACCACATATGAAATACTGTGTCCAGTTCTGGACACCACAATTGAAGGAAGATGTTGACAAGCTGGAATGTGTCCAGAGGAGGGCGACCAAAATGATTAAGGGTCTGGAGAACAAGCCCCATGAGGAGCGGCTTTAAGAGCTGGGCATGTTTAGCCTGCAGAAGAGAAGGCTGAGAGGAGACATGATGGCTATATATAAATATGTGAGGGGAAGTCACAGGGAGGAGGGAGCAAACATGTTTTCTGCTGCCCTAGAGACTAGGACACGGAGCAATGGCTTCAAACTACAAGAAAAGAGATGTCACCTGAATATTAGGAAGAACTTCCTAACTGTGTTTGCTGTTCAGCAGTGGAACTCTCTGCCCCAGAATGTGGTGGAGGCTCCTTCTTTGGAGGCTTTTAAACAGAGGCTGGATGGCCATCTGTCAGGGGGCTTTGAATGGATTTCATTTATTTTTTTGTTTGTTTATTTAGAACATTTATACGCTGTCCTTCTCAACCTCCAAAGAGGGACTCAGGATGGCTTCCAACAGGCAACTATTCAGTGCCGACACAATATAATAACATAACATAAAATACAAAAACAGTTATAAATATACATTAAAACAGTTGGCTGGTTCAAATTCTCATCCAAATCAGTCCATTGCGGTCCACTAAAACCTTATCTTCACCAGTAAATCAGTCTATTCTATGAACGCTTGATTGCACAGCCAGGATTTGCATTTCTTTCGGAAGATCAGAAGGCATGGGGCAGATCTAATTTCATAAGGGAAGGAGATCCATAGCTGAGGGGCCCCACAGAGAAGGCCCTGTCTCTCATCCCCACCAAACACAACTGCGATGGCAGTGGGACCGAGAGCAGGGCCTCGCCGGATTATCTTAAGGTCCTTGGTGGTACGTAGAGGAAGATACGTTCTGACAGGTAAACTGGGCCGAAACTGTTTTCCTGCTTCTTGACAGGGGGTTGGACTGGATGGCCCATGAGGTCTCTTCCAACTCTATGATTCTATAATTCTATTAATCTTGCCATGTGCAGAAAATGGAATTTACAAGTCCAGCATATGTGGAATCCTGGAATCGAAAATACTCAAGATGTGCACATTGTTGCTGGGAAAATGGGTGCACCTACACTGTAGAATTAATGCAGTATGATATTGTTTTGGTTGCTATACATCACTTCATTGGAATCCTGGGAGATGCCGTTTTGCAAAGTCTGTAGCTTTCTCTGCCAAAGAGGGTTGGTGCCTGACCAAACTGCAATCCCCATGATTCCCTACGATTGAGCCATGGCAGTTAAAAAGTGGTATCAACTTGCATTAATTATACAGTGTAGATCAGAGAGAGTTGGTAGGCTGTTAGGAATTGTGGGAGTTGAAGTCCAAAACAACCTTGAGGGCCCAAGTTTGCCCATGCCTGATCAAATATCTGTTCTTCACAGCTGAGTTGGTAGGCTGTTAGGAATTGTGGGAGTTGAAGTCCAAAACACCTGGAGGGCCCAAGTTTGCTCAAGCTTGACCTAGTATCTCTTCTTCAGAGCTGAGTTGGTAGGCTATTAGGAATTGTGGGAGCTAAAGTCCAAAACACCTGGAGGGAAAGGAAAGGGCCTGAGGCTGTTGGGAATTGTGGGGGTTGAAGTCCAAAACACCTGGAGGGAAAGGGAAGGGCCTGAGGCTGTTAGGAATGGTGGGAGTTGAAGTCCAAAACACCTGGAGGGAAAGGGAAGGGCCTGAGGCTGTTAGGAATTGTGGGAGTTCAAGTCCAAAACACCTGGAGGGAAAGGAAAGGGCCTGAGGCTGTTAGGAATTGTGGGAGCTGAAGTCCAAAACACCTGGAGGGCCCAAGTTTGCCCATGCCTGGTGTAGATGCAGCTTACTGAGCAAATGAAGCTTACTGACCAACCAACACAAGGCGCAGATGCTTCAACCTCCACGGAAAGCCAAACGTTCCTCTCTTCCTTTTTTTTTTTTTTCAGGGGAACGTCACTCGAGCGACCGCATCCAATAGGTGGGCTCTGAGCAGGGGGCGGGGCTTCTTTCTAGCGTTCTCCCATGACGTAAGCGGATGTTGGGGTTTGAATGCCTCGGCGGTTATTTTGGACCAGGCGACAGCGCGGGTCGAGTGAGTGAGTGGGTGAGTAGGTTCGTTTAAATGGACCTAACTGGGCCCAGAGGGAAGCAACAGCCAAAGGGTGGCTGTGTGTGTGTCTGTTAGGCTTTATTTCTGTGGCTCTGTTTCTGTGGGTTGCCTTTTCCTCACGGAAGGGCCTGCTCAAAAACCGCAGGCGCATCTCCTGTGACAGACTCTGGCTTTGTTGTTGTTTTTCCTGTCAGATCTTTCAGGAAATGCTCCATTGTCTCCACTGCATTACCCAGAACCCCTAGCCTGCGTTGGCCCTGAGTTGTAGTCCAAAAAAGTATTACTCTTGAGTTAGTTGAGTTTCTTTCCTTTGCTTCAACTGACGTTGCCACAACCTGAGCAAAACCTGTCAAGAAGGGTCCATCTACATCAGGCATGGGCAAACTTGGGCCCTCCAGGTGTTTTGGACTTCAACTCCCACCATTCCTAACAGCCGGTAGGCTGTTAGGAATGGTGGGAGTTGAAGTCCAAAACACCTGGAGGGTCCAAGTTTGCCCATGCCTGATCTACATTCTATAACTATTATTATTACTACATTTTACACTGTTATGTGTTACATGGAGTTTTATCTGTTGTGATTTTTAAATTGTAATTTTGTCATCTTTTTAGTGCTGCGAGTAACTTTGAGTACCTTTGAAGCGAAGAAAGTGGGATATCCATAAATATTACATTATTATTATGTTTATTAATCTCCTGCTTTATCTCAAAGCGGCTTAACATAAAAGCATCAGCATAACAATTTACAAATATACAAATATATGAAAATTCAAACAGGATTAAACATAACCAGTATTAAAAGTCCTTGTCCCCATGATAATTGTTTATTTTTATTGATTTATTTACCACACTTTTACCCTGCCCTTTTCAGCCCAAAGGCAACTCAGGGCGGTGTTCAGACTGGCAGCAATTAAATGCCGAACACACATAAATACATCATTTTAAACAGGTTAAATCACATAATAAAATTCATATGAAAACAATTTAAAACTTTAAAATTCAATTACTTCCAGGTTTAAATCCATGTCCATTTGCATCGTTAAGCTGTTCCATGTTCGTTTGCAATACTGAGTTTATCTAGTTACAGTGAGGATTCAAAAGCTTGCACAAATAGCCAAGCTTTTACTCTTTTCCTAAAGGTCAGGAGGGAGGGGGCTGAATTAGTTAAGGCAAACTCATACTAAAGCTCACAAATTCCTGGGTCCTTCCAGGCACAGTGCCTTTTCAGAGCAAATCCCCCAGATATATAAACCAGAAGCACATTAGCTATCGCTCACCTACTTGTCACATGACTATAAAAAGCTTAAAGTATATATCAGAGGGAAGATATGTCTCTGTGCATGAATTGATTCCTTTTTGCCTTAAAACAGTGGTTCTCAACCTTTGGATCCCCAGATATTTTGGCCTTCAACTCGCAGAAATCCTAACAGCTGGTAAACTGGCTGAGATTTCTGGGAATTGTAGGCCAAAACACCTGGGGACCCACAGGTTGAAAACCACTGTCTTAAGTGAACATCACATGAGTTCTGAGTATTTGTTCATAACCATCTTTTTCTCTCTTAAAAGAGACTTAAAGTGGTTAATAATAATAATAATAATTTTATTTCTTCCCTGCCTCTCCTCATGGCTTGAGGCGGGTTACAAAACAATTAACAGTGAAGAGAGGGCAACCAAGAAGACACAGCTCCACCTTGTCTCCTGCAGCATCACTCAGATTCCCCACAATATATGCAATATAATAATATATAGAAATAATAACATTGTAATGTTGTAGTATATGTAATATATTATAACTTATGATATGGTACAATATATTATATAGTACTATATAATAATACAGTAATTCTATATTATATATTACATGTAATGTTACTAATTATGTCCCCCCTGTTGGCGCAGTTGGTTAAACCATTGAAGTGCTTAACTTGCTGACCAAAAGTTTGGCAGTTTGAATCCGGAGAGTGGGGAGAGCTCCCACTGTTAGCCCCAGCTTCTTCCAACCTAGCAGTTCGAAAACATGCAAATGTGAGTAGATCAGTAGGTACAACTTCTGCAGGAAGGTAAGAACGCTCCATGCAGTCATGCTGGCCACTTGACCTTGGAGGTTTCTATGAACAATGCTGACTCTTCAAGCTTAGAAATGGAGATGAGCACCACCCCCCAGAGTCGGACACAACTAGACTTAATGTCAGGGGAAGCCTTTACTTATTTCTAATAATATTGCAGTATGGTGGTATAGTACAATATAGTAATACTAATATTGTGCTGTGCTGATGATATAATATATAATATACACATATAATATGGATTATAATGCAATCATGCAATACACTATAATACTAATAATACAATATAATAATATATAACAATAGTGTAATATAGTAATACTAATATGTTAAATATAGTTACTACTGAGATATATATACTGTTTTATATTTCTATATTTGAAGTTGTGATGTTTTTGATTGTGAGCCGCTTTGAGTCTCCGTGTGGAGAGATAACGCAGGAAATAAATAAATGAAATACATAAACACAGTAAAAACACTACAAAACACACACACAAAAACATACCTCCATAAAAGTTATATACCAAAATGTGTATCTATGAAATACATACTAAAACAGACAAAACAGAAATTAAACAAAGGACATGCATTAAAATTTATGTTTAAAGACTGTATTCACTTCTATCTTAAACCTGCTCTTCCGGCAGGTTGTTCCACAGCTTTGGGGTGGCCGATGAAAAGGTCCTCTGGTTGGTGGTTGCCAGTCAGGTTCTGGGGAGCAGATGCCCCCCAGAAGACCGAAGTGTGTGGAGCGGATTGTATGGGAGAAGGTGCTCTTGTAAGTAACCTGTTTGTTTAGGTAACAATTGTAGTTTGCTGAAGCACTAGCACTATTTTGGTCCACGCTCTCGTTACATCTAGGATAGACTACTGAAACACACTCTACATGGGGTTGCCCTTGAAGACTGCTTGGAAGCTTCAAATAGGCCAATGAGAGGCAGCCAGGTTAATAAATGGGGCGGCATACAGGGAGCATACAACTCACATGTTACGCCAGCTCCACTGGCTGCCAGTTTGCTACTGGGCACAATTTGAAGTGCTGGCTTTGGCCTATAAAGCCCTAAACGGCCCCGGCCCAAATTACCTGTCCAAACGCATCTCCCCCTATGAACCATTGTGGAGATTAAGATCCTCTGGGGAGGCCCTGCTTTCCATCCCGCCATTGTCACAGACACGATTGGTGGGGCCTTCTCGAGACAGGGCCGTCTCGGTGATTGCTCCCCGGCTATGGAACTCCCTTCCTGGTGAAATCAGGTCGTCCCCTCCCTCCTGTCCTTTAGAAGGATAGTAAAAACTTGGCTGTGGGACCAAGCTTTTGAGACAGGGCAATAAAGCGGCAATAGGAATGATGACCAGGCCAATGTTTTGACGCAGATGACTAGGACGGTTTTAAATGGTGTATTTTTATATTTTTATAAATGTTTTTAATGTTTATGTATTGTATGTGAATCTGTGTCTTGGCATTTAGTGTTTGCCGTGTATATGCTGTGCTCTGCCCTGAGTCCCCTTCGGGGTGAGAAGGGCGGAATATAAATGTTTTAAATAAATAAATAAATAAATATTTAGCAAAACTACAGTTCCCATAGAATCACAGGAGTTAAAATGGTACCAAACTGCATTCATTCAACAGTGTAGATGAGCAGATACAACAAGAACCAAATTAGGGGTGTGTATAACTGCATTATATTGTTCTACATTTCATTATATGGAAGTGTAGGACCAACCTAAGCATGGCTAAGATTGAAGCTTTAAACAGAAATCTTTAATGAAAACGAAATCCTCCTGAATCCAGCAAGATTTTCTTATGTGTAAACATTCATAGTATTGTGTTTTCCTTACCAGGAAGTCTTACATGTTGTGAGACTCTTTGGAATGCTTTAAAGGGCTGCTCTTTCAGGGTTTTGTTACCCAGCCTTTTTTGTTCATGGCCTTATCCTTCTAAGCCATTATGTCAAATCTCCAGGGACAAAAGTTTCAATTTTGTTTCTGAGAGGGCAAGACTCCATTTTTTATTTTTGACATTCTTTTTTAAAATAATAAACAAAAAACTCATCTGATGCATCCAAAGAAATGAATGAACTAAAAATTAAAAAATAGGCTTGCATGATGTTATATGCCATGATGTAGTAAAATTGTGTCTCATTAGAAAAGAAGAAAAATCAAGGTTTGCTTTTGGGTTATTCTTTTCAAGCTGTGGGTGTAGAATCCATTGATGCAGACAGTGCTAGAAATTACTATTTAGACAGAAATATATTGGAAGATATATATACTAAGTACAATTCTGTCACATAAACAATTGTCCCAAAATGTAAAATATTACCAAAAATTGGTTAAGAAGAAGTTGATTTTAGACAAAATAGTGACTATTTATTGTCCCTGGCAAGTATCTTTTTATGGTTTGGCCAGTATTAGAAAGACTAATGAGTCATTATTGAACTTGTTATTTCAAAGTATTAGAAAATCAGTCTTTTTGTTTTGCCAGAAATGAAGAAAGCTCCATGATAGCTAAAAGAGGCAAGTGCCTCAGAGGTGTTTAACTTCCTCAGTTCCATTTTAGGACTCATAATGTGTAGATGTCATGACTCCCAATATCAAGTGCTTCCCTGTTCTCTTTCTCAAAAGTATGTTCACTTATTTGGTTAGTAAAGATTTAATAATAAAGATTTTAACCAGCTGTGTTTTTTGGACTTTTTTATGAACCAACATTATTTTCTTAATTTCAAAGGATGCAGCTGGAAAATTCACTTGAATATTGAGCTCTATTTAGTCAAAGGAACTTGCCTTTTTCTTTTCCCATGCTTTGGATAAATGTACAGGGGTATATGTGTATTTGTTTACAAAGAAGAGCAGACTGCATATAAAAAGTGACTTCTGCATGGAGAAGGGTACAGAAAACTCAGTTTTAGAGTACTACAAACTAACAGCCTTGTG